CCCTCCCCCCCCCCAGCCGCTGCCCATTTCCCAGCCCCCGTCCCTGCCCTGCCCTCGCCCCTGCTCCTGCTCAAGCCCCTGCCCGTGTCCCAGACCCTGCTCAGGCGCCTGCCCCTTCCCCAGCGCCGGCACCAGACCCTGACGCTGCCCCTGCCCTGATCCTGCCCCTAAACCTGCTCTGCCCCTGCCCGAGCCGCTGCCCCAGTTCCTGCCCCTGCCCCATCCTTCGTGCTGAAGCCAAGCCCCAGCTCCGAGCCCCAGCAGCCAGGCACCGGGGGATGCCAGCCCTTGGGCCTGGGGGGTTGCCCCCCCCCATTTGAGCTATCCGATGGGTGGCTGGGGTGCCCTGTGCTGTCAGCACCCTGTCCTCTTTGCACAAATGCATCTGCCAGCCCGGCCCTTGCACCCCTGGCTGCTATCCTGGGCTGGGGGGAGTCCGGCCAGTGACTGGGGCTGGTAGCAGCAGCATGACTTTGCCAAGGGACACACACTGGGGTCGGTGGGGGTCCAGGTGACACTGCTCAGGGTTATTAAGGCCCACCAGTGCCCCCAGGGTGCTAGCACTGCCCGGGTGCACAGCATCACCCTGGATCCACATCCTGGGGTGCTCCTGCCCCCAGGTCCTGCTGCACATAACGAAGGGACCCAACCCTGCCACCGTCCTGGCAATCAGGGGATGGAGAAACAAGTCCTACCAAAGGCTGTGCCCCTGCCCGGGGGGAGGTACATGATGGGCATGGGGAGCCTGCGGACACATCTGCTGTGGTCTTGCCATCATCCCCAGGACCAGTGCCAGCCTGGGAGGGGACATGAGCCAACTCCTTCTGCAGCACCAAAGCTGTCCTGGTTTCCTCCCTAGAGAGGAAACTGCTTCAGGGAGAAAACGTGCTGTCATTAAAGAAAGGGCCTAAATAACACACCCTGGCTCTATCACTTTGGCTGAGAAAAGCAGGAGAAAATCCCAAGCGAGATAAATGCTGGTCTAGCCCCCACCATGCTGGTTTGGCGGTGAGCATCTTTGCACAGGTGTTGGGGGGCTCAATGGGATGAGAGGCCTCTGGGTGGGAAGATCCCAGGCTGGGATGCGGCCACCTGGACCCCTCACGGCCCTGGGAGGGGGAGTGTGGGGTGTGACAATTCCCAGACATCTGGGACCCCGCTGCCGCGCTTCCAGGCGGGAACATATAAATATTTCAGCGGAGTAGCCGAGCCCTGTCAGGTTGCATTTGCTTCTGGCAGGGTAAGTGCTGGGAGAGGGGGAGGAAAGGGGGAGAGAAGATGCTCTCGGAAGATGCATCATCTCCCGGGAGATGGGGGCACCAGCTCCGGGGCCCGATCCTCGAGGGTCTCCACCTCTGCTTGGTTTGCCTCTAAGGATGCTCTCACCTCTGAGACTGGTGCAGTCCCTCTTGTCCTGACATTTGGGTCTCACCCCATAAGCGCATCTTGGGGGCTGCTGCCAGGCTGTGCCGAGGGGAGAGAGGCTTCGGCAATTTTGCTCTGAGCCCGGTGGGCAGCGGCACGTCCAGGACCCCCAGGGACACGGCACAGCCCAGGCTGGAACTAATCCCATCCCCTCCCTGTAAGAAACAGGGGTGCAGAAATAAATCCAAGCAGCTATGGGCAGTGAGGAGCGGGCAGGGCAGGCCTTAATCGCTGCGGGGGGGGAAGGGGGGACGACGACAACCAAGGCGGTGGGCAGCATCTCCCCGGGGGTGCTGCCGAGCCAGCCTGGCGGTATGCGGGACCCCGCAGCCCAGAGGCTACGGCAGATGGGCGGGGAGCTGAGCCCGGCTGGGAGGAGCCGGCGAAGGAGCTTTCGGGGTGGGGGCGATTCCCCCCCCCCCGTCTCGGACACACAACTACGAGCTGCCGGTGGGGCTCTGCCCCCCCGGTGTGGCCGAGCTCCTCCTTCTGCTTCTGCTTCTGCTTCTGCTTCTCTACTTCCCCCTCCTCTTCCTCTGCCTCCTCCTCCCCTTCCTCCTGCCCGCTGCACTGTGGAGCTTGTAGTCCCTCCACCTCCCCGCACATGGGGCACGACTACATTTCCCGAGGGCCACCCCCCATTCTCCTCCTCCTCCTCCTCCTCCTGCCCCCGGCTTGTTGTGGATCCTCCTCCGGCAGCAGCAGCGCCGTGGGGAGCCCCGGGAACCCCCCCCACCGCTCCCGGCCGGGTACGGCCCGCCGCCCCCATGCCCATCGTCCCCCAGGTACGGCCGGGGCTGCGGGGGTTCTGGGCTGCCCCCGGTGCTGGGCCGCCCGCGGTACCGGGAGTACCGGGGATGTGGGGTGTCCCCGGGGGGGCCGGGATGCCGGGGATGTGGGTGTCCTCCCTCGTCGGGGTGCCCGGGATGCTGGGGATGTGGGTTGCCCCCAGGGTAAGCAGCGTGCCCTGTCTCAGGGAGAGCTGGTGCCGCGCAACCCCCCCCCCAACACCCTCCTCTACCACACGCACCCCAAACCACCCCCGGAGCACCTGAAAGAGCCACCCATCCCTTGGGTGCTGGGGGCGGGGGGGAGGCAGATAGGTGCCCTCACGGTGGGCGAGGGTGTATTTTCAGGAACTTCCTCCCCCTGTTTTGGGCAAGGTCCCTCAGGGACTCGAGCACCCTCATCCCCTGCCTGCTCGGCACCTGCCCACAAAACGTGTCATGCTTCGGTGGCATTACTTCTGTGCTACTGACATGCAGCTGCGGGGAAACCCCCCCCCCCCCCCCCCCCCGGGGTGTCCCCTCCGGACCACAGTGGCCGTGGCTCCCCGGGGAGCTGTGCCTGAGCTTGGCCACCTGCATCACCCGTGGCCCCGGGTTGACAACTGTGTAGCATGAGAGTGATCCCTTGTCAAGGTCATGCCGTGATAACCTGGCGATAACCAGGTTCACACGGTGATAGCCGCCCGTGCTCTGCTCCCTCTCTTCTGCCTGGCTTGCACCAGGGCAGAGGGATGACAGCACCGAGCTGGGAACATCCCTTGGGAATCGCACCCGCTCCCCTCGAGTGGTAGCAGCTTTGTGGAAGGTCTGGAGAGGTGGAATTGGGTCTGGCCGGACAGCTTTGGGGCTGGAGTCCCTGCATGTGTGGGGACACACGTGCCAGGAGTTAGGAGCCGGTGCTGACAGGGACGGTGGCACTGGGACAGCAGCACGGAACTGTATCCCAGGTTTAATGTGGATGGTTTCCTTTGGGCCAGGGATGAGCAGTTGCAGCCATCCTGGATGGACACGAAAGGAAACAGGGATCATCTGCTTCCCAAATGGGTTTGGGGCGGAGGGTGGAAAACAGCCTGTCGGGGTCCCAGTGCATGTGCTGGGGGGCTGCCCCACAGGGAGCGGCTGCTGGAGGGGACGATCACTCACATCCACAGCCCAGCTTGGGAACGAGTGGGAGATGGGGCATAGTCCAGGCAGTTGCAGCTGGGCCCGAGGCGGGCGGGCACGGCATGGTGCTGGGGTGGGTGTTTGGGAGGGTTTAGCCCCCGCTCCTTGACCCTTGTCCTTCCCGGCACAGCAGTGGGGGGCTGCGGCACTGGCTCCGGGCAATAGCTGGCTGGAACTGAATCCCTGCCCTGCTCCTCAGGAACCTATTTAAGAGGTAAGGGCTGTTTGCCCAGCTGTGAGCTGCGGGACATGTGCATTTTGACGATGCTTAGTCACCAGCGCTGAAATCCCATAGGAATGCCGCTGGACCGGTGAGTACTTGCTAGGGTGAATGGGCACTCTGATTCCCACTGCCACTTTTGGTTTCAGTCATGACCGACTTTCCCCTGCCGGCACCGGCACTGGCTCGTTTCCCCGTTAGCCACGTGCGTTATCTTGGGAAGGGGTGCTCTTCAGAGGTGAGCCCCCCTAGTCTCGCTGTGCAGAAGGATGATGGCAGCCGGGGGGAGGCATGGACTGGGACTGTGGACTTACTTTTTAATTACCGTGATTAGTCATTCTGCGATTAGCAGGGTAATTGGGTTTCTAGACCTTGCTCCCGCCATGGATTGGCACACGTGGATTTTTATGGCTCGAAAAGTGCTGTCGGTGACTTGTTGTGGGAGAGAGGAGCACTGGGAGGACGGCCAGGCCAGGCCTTCTCCCTTCCCTGCCTTCATCCCGTGACCTCTAATCAGGCCTCCCCGGCACTGCCAGCTTTTCTGCGGCCAAACCTCAGGATCTGAGCATTTAATCCCCCTCCAGACTGTGAACCTCATGGTATTTTGCATTCTCCCCAGGCCAGGCAATGCCACCTGAGCATCGTGTCCTGCCAGGGGAGAGCCGATGGGCAGCTGCTCGCCTGTGGTTCAGCTAAAGTCACACTGACCGCCCAGCTAATGTATAACACGGGTGGCCTCACGCCCGGTGTGCACATTAACTCGCTTTCACAACCGGCACGGTCCCTGCGACCGCTGCTGTCTCCCTCCGGAGCATCCCTGGCATAGGGCTTCTACATCCCTCTGCCTCTGGGTCTGCAGTTGGAGCGACTTAGCTTGGAGGGAAGCATTGCTTTGGGGAAGGGATAAAACCCCACTGACTCTTAAAAGGGAGAAAAATGGAGGTGATGGGAGCTGAGCAATGCCCCGCTGCAGAGCTGGGCACTTCGTGCATCCAGGCTCTTTTATACAGGATTTACAAATGTCGCCCGAAATGGGCCCCCCCCGGCTTTTGCACAGCAAGACATGCGGCTGCTTTTCTTCTTGCAAGAACATCTCCTGGGGAGAAGGTAGTGGTATTTATTTGCTTTGCGATTATAGAGGAATTTGAGCCTGTGCCAAATGCTGCTTTCTCCCCAGAAACTGCAGCGACGTGGCTTTCGATGCTTCGGAGAGTGCCTGCAGCCAGAGAGGGGCTGCCTGGCCCAGCAAAGCCCATCTAGCTGACGGTCCCCGGGATAACGCCATCATCCCACTGCAGAGCCGGCAGAGCCATGCCCGAGAAGGATGATGATGCCAAAAAGCCGGCATCGGAGACTGTGCTGGACCAGCGCTGGAAGCTACAAGTCTTCTACCTCTGCTTCTATGGCTTCATGACACAGATCCGGCCCGGGGAGAGCTTCATCACCCCGTATCTTCTGGGGGCTGACAAGAACTTCACGCAGGCAGAGGTGAGCCGTGGGCAGCCTGTCCCCCCGTGGTGTCCCCCTTTCTGCTCATGGTCACCACCCTGGGGCTGGCAGGAGCATCCTCTCACGGTCCTGGGGTATGGAGGGGTGCGGTGAGATGTGGTGGTGCTTTTTGGGTGGCTGGGGGAGAAGGTGGCATGTGTCCATCTGGCAGCGTGTCCCTGTCCCGCTGGGCTGCGAGGTCACCCTGTCCCCTCAGCCCCAGGCTCAGCTTTCTCCCGTGTAAGACCTTGTGACCAGGCTAGATGCCACTTTAGGGGGGTGATGCCTGATCCCTGCCCACCTGGGCAGCCAGTGGGGTGGCAGGGGGGTGCCAGGCTGGGAGAAGCCCTCTCCCATCCCACCGGTGAGACCCTCCCATGCTGGCACAGTGCAGGGCACAGGGCTGGGCACTGCCAGGCTGCTGGCAGCGATGGGGTTAGACGAGGAGGGACTGTATGTCGTCGTCCTCTGACCAAGTGACGCTGGCCCCGGTCCCAGCAGGCTGCTGCATCCGTGGGAATGCTGTGTTCCCAGCACGGGAGGGGCCTGAGGCTCAGCCAGGCCCCTGGCTGAGTGCGCTGTGGGCCACATTCCTCCCCAATGAGGTGCCGCAGCGGGGGTCAGTGGCTGATGGCCACCCAAACCGCATTCCTCTGGGCTGGGGGCATCCCCCAGGGATGTGTCCCGTGCTCAGCACCTCCTCGCACGCACGGCAGGTGACGAACGCGATCATACCGGTGATGACCTACTCCTACATGGCTGTGCTTGTGCCCATCTTCCTGCTGACGGACTACCTGCGCTACAAGCCAGTGCTGGTGCTGCAGAGCCTGAGCCACATCTCCATCTGGCTGCTGCTGGTGTTGGGCACCTCTGTCCTGGCCATGCAGCTGATGGAGTTCTTCTACAGCGTCACTATGGCCGCCCGCATCGCCTACTCTTCCTACATCTTCTCCCTCGTCACCCCATCCCGCTACCAGCGTATGGCCAGCTACTCCCGCTCTGCTGTCCTCCTGGGAGTCTTCACCAGCTCCGTGCTGGGCCAGCTCTGTGTCACCTTGGGGGGCGTCTCCTTCCTCACCCTCAGCTACATCTCATTGGGCTTCGTCAGCTTCGGCCTCATCCTCACCCTCTTCCTTGAGCGGCCCCGGCGCAGCCTCTTCTTCAATCAGCCTGAGGGGGCTGCGCCCACCGAGCTGGACAAGATGGCCGGGGGGGATGGCGGTGGGGGGACGCGGGGCTGGCGGGAGGCGGTGCTGTGCCGTATGCTGCGGGAGGTGGGAGCGTTGGCCGAGCAACCCCAGCTCCGGCTCTGGTCCTTGTGGTGGGTCTTCAACTCGGCCGGTTACTACCTGGTGCTGTACTATGTGCAGATCCTCTGGAACGAGATCTACCCCACCATGGACAACCGCCGGGTGTACAATGGAGGGGTGGACGCTGCCTCCACCCTGCTGGGTATGCTCGCCTGGGCTGGGAACACCAGGGATGCAGGGGGACACCCCTGTCCTGCTGCATTCCTGGGAATGGCAGTCCTTATGGCATTTGGGGGGATGCAGGGAATGGTTTGGCAGTGGTGATGAGATGAACATCAGTGGATGAGATGAGCGTCGCTAGGCTGGGGGATGCAAAGTGGTCCCATGCTGGTGATGTGTTCACAATATCCTTCATCTCCTCCCCAGGGGCTGGCGCCTCCTTAGCTGCCGGCTATGTGAAGATCCGCTGGAGGCTGTGGTCGGAGCTGGTGATCGGGGTGGTGACAGCTTTCCAGGCAGGGCTGCTCCTGCTCATGAACACCACCAGCAACATCTGGCTGTGCTATGCTGCCTACGTCCTCTTCCGCGGCTCCTACCAGTTCCTGGTGCCCCTTGCCATGTGCGTGGTACCCTTGGGGACCTGCTCCCACCCCGGCAGCCAAGCTGGTACCAGGGGTTCACTGGTGACCCCCTCTTTCCCAGTTTCCAGATCGCTACCTCCCTCTCCAAAGAGCTCTGCGCGCTGGTCTTTGGAGTCAACACCTTCTTTGCCATCGTGCTGAAGACCATCATCACCATCATCGTGGCCGACAAGAGGGGCTTGGGCTTGTCCGTGCATCCCCAGGTAGGGATCAGGGGCACCGAGGATGGAGGTGGTCCCCTAATGATGTGGGATGAAGGGGGGGCCGCAAGTGTCATTCTCTTCCCCTCACTCTCTTGCAGTTTTACGTGTATTTTGGCTACTTCACACTGCTGGCAGTGGTCTACCTGGTGGCGGCCGTCTGTGTAGGCATCTGGCACAGCCGCCACAAGCAGCTGGCAGAGCCGGCCTTGCCCAAGGAGCCGTGCCAGCTCCTCACCGAGGTGCCGGCGCAGGAGAAAAGCCTGAAGGCAAGCACCGTGTGAGCCTGAGCGCCGGCATGGTGACCACAGTGGCTAGGTCTCAGCTCCATAAGTGAGCGTCACCATCACCGTGTGCTCAGTCTCTTGTCCTGCCACTGGTCTTCAGCACTGGCCTGTTGAGGACATAACCCCTTAGGACCTGTTTTCTGCTCCATGGGGGCAGGGCTGTACCCTCCCCATCCACAAACACAACCAGAGCAGGGTTGCCACGGCCAGGTACCACGCAGGGATATGGATGGGGTCCAGGGGGTCTCCCAGCCACCAGCTCCCCATCATCGCACGGACCCAGGCTACAAGAGGATAACATTTTTTTATTATTCAGTGCCTTTAGAAAATGATTCATAGGACACAACTGACCAAAAAAAAAAAAAAAATCCACAGGCTTTAAATTGCATTAATTACACAAAATACAGTAGACTGTAAGAAATAGAGACCATGTGACTCGCACAGCTTTTATGGTAATAATTTCCATACAATAATAAAAAGCTAGTTACAGATTTACCTTTTTTTCTTTCTTTTTTGTTTTTTAGCACCTTGGATTTGCCCATAACAATTCAAACTAGCTTTGCTGCCCCTTGGCCCTTGGAGTGCAGCAAAGGTGGCACGGGGAGGGGGGGTGATGGCAGGGTGCCTGCCCTCGGTACCATGCATGCTCAACATGCACATGCATGTAAACACATGCCAAGGGCACGTCTGGCCCCACGTTGGGGCCACCCCATTGCCCCGGTCTGCGCACTGGCCTGAGTGTGGCTGTACCCGGGATGTGGGGGCACGCCTGGGGGTCTCGAGGGTGTGTGGAAAGAACTGGGGAGACCAAACCCCCCCCCAGAGCTCGTGAGCTACTGGTGTGGATGATGATGGGGGACTGGGTGGGAATGGTCCTTACCTGGGGAGGGCGGAGACCATCTGGGGGGAGCCCCAGCACCACCATGGGACGGTCCCTTGCTTGGGTGGGGTGCCTGGGTTTCAGTTGGAGAAGACCCCGTGGCCCCAGCAGCAAGGATTTGGGTCCAACCCCGAGCTCCTGGTGAGGACAGTGCGGGGCTGCGGGGGTGTCAGAGAACCCCCCCGCAGGCTTTCCAGGAGGGCACACCGCATGGCAGTGCTGAAATCTCCCTGCCAAGCATCCTCTCGCCCAGCCACCCCGAAAAGAGCATCCAGGCAGGTGGGAGACGCAAGCTGAAGTGGTTAAATATTAGGAGTTAGAAGAGAAGTGGAGGGAAATGAGGAGGAGGAAGAGGAAGGCAGCCAGCCCACGGCTGCCCTGCCCCAGGCAGGATGCGAGCCCCTGCCAACCCAGGGCAGGGGTGATGGCGATACTCTTTGGCTTCAGGTCTGCGGGAGAAGAAAACCCTGCGGGGCGAGGGCAGGTGCATGGGGGGGGCTGAGGACCACAGGGGTGCCAGGGTGCAGGCTGGCCCGACCCTCCCCAGGGAGATGTGGGGTACCCAGGGGACGGGAGGGTGTCACTTTTTGGCGGCAGTCATGAAGCTGTTCTCGATGCAGAGGACGACGAAGGCATGCTGGCAGCTGCTGGCCATCTGCTCCAGCAGCTTGCCAGAGCCCAGCGAGGAAGCCTGGCCGGTGACGGCACGTTCCTCTGTCCGCCACGTCTCACAGTAGCTCTCGGGCAAGCGCCGACCCTTGGCATCCGAGCCGTGCCAGATGCTCTTCTGCGGCCTGGAAAGGAGAAAGGTGAGGGGATGCCGCTGCCTCCCCCCCCAGTACAGACCCCATCTCCCCACTTTCCCCATCACTTAGTCCCGCACTCACCATCCCACATCCCGCAGGACATCCCGGCCGTCAAAGGAGAGGATGCGGGCGCCAGCTCGCAGTGGGGCCCCGCTGCCCGTGAAAAGGGCTTCCCAGTTACTGAAGAGCACTTCGTCCTGGTGGGGAGTGGTGGAAAGAGGGGAGGGTCAGCCCTGCCTGCACCCTGAGAGCATCACAGGAGCTCTGAGCCCCAGCAGCCTCTGGGGAGGGGATGCTTCACGGTCACTGCCATGTGGATGGATGTGGGCTTTGGGATGCTCTGCAGCTCTTGGAGCTCCTGGGGTGTCAGGAAGGGGATGGGGACACACACGTACCCGGAGGTTGACAATGGGCACGGCGGCGCGGTCAGCCCTGCGCACAATGCTGTAGAGGTCCTGCAGGCGGGAGGAGAGGAAGGCGCGGAAGGTGCCGGCCAGCCCGACCTGCCGGGCTTGCTGGAAGCACTGGAAATCGGCGCCCCGGATGCCGCGCATGCCACCGCTCAGCGGGGCATTCAGGGCCACCAGGTGAAGCTGCCAAGAGAGGACAACAGGGCTTGAGGGACGTGGCTTTGGCCACCATCATCACCTCCCCTCAACCGGCACGTGGCACTCACGGCAGGCTGGAAGTCCTGGTGCACGTGGGCGGCCACGGGGGCCGGATCCGGCCGGCGGTGGATGTAGTAGCTGTTGAGGAGCTCGTGCTGGTGGTGGAGCAGGGGTTGCTCGGGCAGCCGGTGCTGGTTGGCCACCACCTCATCCCCGTGCCAGGGACGGGCGGTGGGTGGGGGGCTGTGGTTGTGGAGGGGGTGCAGGGG